TTAAGAGTCCATGTAGTTGAAGAACGCATAGGATTATCATCGAGAAAGTCAGGTAACGAAGCAGAAATTGAAAAAACCAGTATAGAAAATTGGCGAACCTCGAGACTTTAGTGACACGGTTCAGCTCTATTATCAAGGAAGTCATAATGACTATACTTCAAATTTTTGGTCATAGTTACGAGCTCACAAAGTGTATAGAAAGCTGTGAGTGTGGAAAGAAGATCTTTGGAGAATTATCGAACATCTAGAACGGTCTTTACCTTCTCGGAAGCATAACCAATGTGACCTGTCGTATATAAAACTGTGATTTTGACATTTCCTCTGCTTTTGTGTCGCTATCAATGGATTCGCAGCAATTACCCACCCATAAAGCTGAGACGTGTTCGTCTTCATTCATATACGACTGGGTCAGAGGTTCGCAATCATGTGAACAATTCTCTTGCTGGAAAGAGTCCACCACTTTTGTACAACTGATGATTCCAAACATAGAGCCCAAATATATTATATCTGCTTCTTCTTCGTGTATTTTGTGTTCTTGAAAGTTCCGTTGGCGCTGATAGATTCGGCAATGAGACAAATGATTAATTTCAATGTTGTTTTCCTCAAACAGTTCTTCAACCATCGCTCGATGGCTATAGCATGGCTAACGACACTAACCCTTTGAAGGACCATGTGGTACGTTTCCTCCTACACCAACGCGACGTCGCATCTCACTCAGCTAATGTAAGGGCAGCGTCACGCACCGTGAGAGAGGCGGCTCCCCGTAGGAAGACAGACGCCAGAAGGCATGATGGAGGCGAGGAGACGACCCCAGGCTCTGAAGAAACATTATCATCATAAAGTGATGGAATCTCATTGGAAAAGCTTCTTCAGAGATAATCTTAGTAAAAAGAAACCTGTTTTCCATATTCCGCCTATATTTCTTATGTTTCGCCAAAATGCTAATGGACCGAAATTTTGAAAAAAAAAATTTCTCATTCTGACAGTTGACATATTTCGATATTGAAAGTTGAGCATATCGCTTTCCCAAGGAACACTTCTGAACAATTAGAAAAAGAAATACAATCGCACAATTGCAGTCTATCACGTGTTAAAGGTGATGAGTTTTTATATGAGCTTTCTAGATCGAAATGTCTAAGTTGACGATTTGAGTGACCTTAGTGGTGAGATGTTCTTTCACTGAAATGTCGCAATTCATCATTATGGAAAACCGCTCAGCTACGATGATGTGTTAATCATTAAAGGACATTATGCAACAAAATTCAGCTATCAATATGTAAAATCATCTTACCAAATTGCACGAAGGCTTATCGTTATCAATTGGAATTTGCAAACAAAAACATAACGTTCTAAACCAACAAGTCACTCTAATTTTCCTCACTGGTAAACGCTGAGCAGTTTGCAATGGAAGACTTCGTAGTTGACCTTTCGATGAAGACCGAGGACGTGCCGGTAGCCTTTTGCTCGAATGTTTCATTTATCAATCGCTGTTTCTACCTACGTTGTATCTTCAGTGCTTTCCAAAGGCTTGGTGGTAATAAGGTAAACTATCCGCTGCAGCTCGGACTTCCAAAGATGACATCATGCCTTTAGCTACACTTTACGTTGCTTCTATTCAGCTAAACGATTTTGAAAATCAAATTTCACGCTCTGTACCAAACAGCGGTTCCAATCTGACAGGAGGAAATTGAGGAACGAATTTACATCATGCGGAATAGGATCACTAACTACGTTTATATTGTGAGGCAGCACCTTACACACAGCTCTGTAAGTTCTTAACATTGTTCCGTGGCATAGGGAACAAGCTATTTATTAGTTCCCTTCTAACTGAAGACAGATTGCAATAGGGAAAATTTGACGATTAATGGACAAAAAAGTGTGATCTCGGTGGGAAGCATTGTCTGAGCAGTCGCTCAGAGCATTTTAAGATATAATGAGACGAATTGCGTGCCATATAGAATATAAAGGAAGGAGTAATTTACAAAGAGGAAAATTTTCATATGCTTTGTAAAGGAGTGTCTGATTCATTTTTGATAGATCAATATAGCCCGTATCCTAAACACCGCATTTTAGCACCTTAATAAGCCACATCAGATAATTTTCCTGTTTCAGAAATCATGCACGCATACTTCGTCCGATAACACGCAGGCAACCAGCATTCTGAGCATAAGCGGAACTCAGCTGGAAGAAGAGCAACCATATGGCTCAGTCTGAGTTATAGAAATTTTCCGGCAGCTTCATAAGAAACAATAGCGAAGCTTCAACGAGATTCAGCATCTGGTAAGGAAGTTTGTTTATAAGGTAAATTCTGGAGCCAGGAACAGATCGCATTACATCTCTCGAACTGACTCAGATCAGAGACGCTTTGCTGGCTCGTGTCTGCTGAAAAGCACCACTTCTGAAAAGCATGAAATCGTCATGCATTTGGAAAGGTTCAACCTATCCTTGATATCCACGATCGCATCTGCAAGAGACTGGAAGAATGATCGAGCAAAGGGATGGAGATGCGAGCAGGCGCAAGTGAAGTGAGTGCTCAAATCACATAAATCTACAGTAGCATTGTAATTCGTTGATTGTCAGTTAAGTCAGACAGTGCTAGTAATGACCAGCCAACGTTGATACAAATTTTTTGATACAAATTTGTTTTTCGTAGAAGAGATGTTCATTGAAAAACAATCTGGAAACTTTTCCACCATATCCTGTTTGAAGTGTCTGCTTAGAACTCTGCAATTAGCAGAGCTATGAAGCCTCCCAACACCACTGATAAAATGACTTTAGTGATTAGATATTATCAGCGAATGGTGTGAAGTAATAATAATGATATTTCCACACCGCTGAGATGCGAAGAAAATTCCAAAGTATCGTTTAATGTGCGACAGGTAGACGTCAAATGGATTTTTTCAACAAATTAATATGAAGGATGAAGGATAAAGCTCTAGACTTTGATGAATCTTTGAGGTGTGCTCCATGCATTCCACTTTCTAACTCGTGTGATTGAATGCATATTTGGGATTCACGATGACTCGTGGTGGCTTCCCGCTGTATCGAGTCAGTGCTGCTTATCATTCCGGACGAGTCTGAGAGCATTATGGTATCAGTTTACCGATCCCGGAGGGATAGTGAACCATGAGAGCGAGGTAGAACCGTTAACCCTGTATGCGCCCTACGAGCACTACATTTCGGTATATGCAATTAAAATGTGATGAATTTATTCAAAATAAACTCAAATAACTCCACACTGATGTTGCAAATCGCAGGATCATCCGTGTCAAATAGTAATCGTCACACTTCTAAACCGAACAGACGACCAATAGATTCGCCTGTTGAAGATCTGGATGGAAGCATTTGACGATTTCTCGCGAGTGTACCCCTCATATTGCGACCAGTGCGATGTCGCAGTAGAAACGATCAAAACCGCTTAAGCGCACAGCGCAAAACTTAGGCTGTTCATCAAGGTAGGTGCGATTTATAAAATTTCAAACAAGTTTTTCGGTGTGGTTTATAAGAGCTGATTGAGAATGACTTTATTAAGGACCATGAAAGAAGCAAAGTAATCAAACGACAGAGTACTGTCGATATTATGGTGACTCCAGTGCATCGTCTTCCAAGCGTTAAACTATTGCTTGACTGTAAGAGATTTTTCCGTCCTAGTCTAATACTACAAAAGTTGCCATTAAGAGAAGTTTTATAATATCTCTGACAAGGAGTTTATAAAAGTGTAACCATGTCCTCATAGCCCGAACAAGGCTTCATGTTCCGTTCGTATCTCATCAATCTACGGTTGTATCTCATATAATATTAGGTCTCCAACTATTTATCCGAACTCGGTTCAAAAACTCAAAAATATATTTTTCCAAAGAATCGAAATTATTAAATAACATTGATTAAGGTACATTGTGCTTGAGTGAATGCGATTCGCCAGCTCTCCAAAAACAAATCAATTTCGCGCTTATAAAACTCATTATTCTTCAATGCAAGCCAATCAGTCAATTCTCGACGTAAATGATTGATGTATTGAAACTTTTTCTCGTCCAGCCAGTACGCTTATGATCTGAAGAGATCAAAATCGTAGAGAAGCAGATCTGGCAAATACGGTGGACGATCCAAATGCTCCCAGCCCAAATCGGCCAACCTCTTCCTTGTTTTCTTGGCAGAGTGTGGCTTTGCATTGTCTTCAAGCGAAGTGGCTTAGCGATGTGGTGATGTGGAATTGCTTCATTGCAACGGTCCAGTTGCTGACAGTATCGCTCAGCTTGATGGTCTTACCGGCTTGCAACAAGTGACAATGAATCGGTCCACATCGGTCCCAGAAAATGGACAACATTGCTTTTGGCGCGAATCGATTTGTTGGTGTTGGGGTTCCTTGGTGACCCGATAGTAACCAGTGATTTGGACGACGCTGGCTCTTGAAGAAGGTCCATTTTTCATTAATAATAACAACTCTGTTCAAAAACCAAAAGCGGCGATGACGACGAAGATGAGCTTGCGCGCTTTGCTTTCTTTTGTTCTTTTGAGCTTGTATGAGATCGTGACGAATCCATTTGCCCTTGCGCCATTTCTTGCCTGCATTTTTCAAGATCTTCTGGATCTGCTCGAATTGAGTTGTCGTTAGAGCGCTGGCAGAATTCCATTTAGGCAGACGGATAATACTTCAGTTAAAGTTACTTGATACCTTCAGTTAATTGAACAAATAATATTTTGAATTTTTAGATGAAGTTCGGAAACTTAGTTGGAGACCTATTGCCCTGACGTTTAATAAAAGGCACTAAACACATTTTTAGGCATAGTGATTTCGACTACTGGTTCAGGTTAGGTAGAATCAATGCCTATTTGTGCTCATCAGATCAAATCCCTCGACAGGAGATTGCCGATAGCACTTATTAGGTTACAGCATAGCTAACAGCAAAAAAAGAAAGAGAAATCCTTTTTGTTTAACTGCTTCGAGTGATGGTATGATGCTATGAATATACCCACTGATATAGACTGATGTGCAAAACTTTTGCGCCAGTTGGAACTCGAACCCACATCTCACCCTATCCGGGAGCACTTGCTCGAACCGCTGCACCACCGACACCTGCTTTGACAGCATTCTTTCTAAAAGCTAGAATCATCTGAATAGAAAGGAATTCTGTTTGATTATCTAATACTCAATATCTGCCACCGTAACTGGGTTCAATGTCGATAGCGACAATAACATGTCATACCGTTGGCGGTTAGTTATTGACAGATAGATACTTTGCAGCGCAGAAAGAGTGGTTTCAAAATAGACGTGGGTAGTGCGACGATTCGAGTACCTACCCCTGGATCGTCATAAAAATCGTCACAGTCGTCACAAAAAAGCATGTTGTTGTGTGCATAGTTGCAATATAATTGCGTATCAATCTTGGTGCGAAGAGGAAGTCTTTTAAACTTTCTATTCTCCCTCTCGTAAACTTCTTCGGGCTCGTGAAAATTTCACGAACAAAATAATCTTACGAACTCTATTGGCAACATATGGCAAAATTTCTCAATGCACTTAATATAAACACAACGAAAGATTTGGAATAATGAATGTTCACAAAATGTCAAATGTTGAAATGAAACTAGATCTTTCAACGAGGTGTGACCGGGTGAATTTTCCATTCACAAAAAAGGTATGATTACACGATAAATTAATTGTAATGTAATATAGGTCTTAAAGATTCGAAGGATAAACTCTTAGCATTGGTCTACTTCTGAGGGCTGCGCAATGCATTAGGCATTACCAAGCATCATTAGATGCGATTGGATGCATATCCGACCTTTACGATGACTCGTGGCGGCCTACCGATCTATAAAATACGAACTGCTATTCTCCTACTCAAATCTAGCATCGAAAGAACGCATAACGTTAGAGGCTTTGGTTAACCAGGGAGGCGGAGATTGAATTTGCAACCACGTCTGTTTTGCAGTGCGCCTCGAACTCCTACACCCACTCCCGCTCTATGTCAAATTACAAATATCCATTTATGTTCTGTGTCGCGATATTTTGTTCACATCTCATGACAGAATTTTAGTGAATTTTCAAATTTTCGTAGTGTCTACTTCGTACTACCCCTCGAACCTTAGCTTGTAAAAAAGTTGTAAGCAAATAGAGGCTGGAAGGTCACGAGTTGTCACAGTACAAACGGAAAGCCATTTATACATGCCATCAATGACCGGAACTGTCATAGCGCATTCTATCATACTGAGATGTCTAAGCAACAAATTTTTTGCAAACAGATATCTATGTTTGCAACTGACCGCCTCAAGTGTGTCGGGATCGAACGGCAAAAATTTGAAATTAACTAAAGCGAAGTAATGACGAATGGTAGGTGTTTTAAGCCACGGCTGAAATTTGAATAAATTTTCCGATATCAGAGAAAGGTATTACCACCACTTCAAATACCACGTGGACTTTTCGCCTCGCATGCGGTGCCGTTGACCGGATGGAGAGACGCGCTTAAATGACAATGTTATAGTCTACTTACAAATACTAGATTCTTATTTCCACTAAAAGTGGTTCTGTGACCAGTAAAGGAAGGACTAACACTGAAGAGACTTTGACAAGGCTATCTTTAGAACGATCTTTCTATGAAAAACGTCATTGTTTCCTAATGAAAAATGAACAATTGATTATTTAAAAAAAGCGTTCCACACCGCATACAGATTTTTAATATATAATGCGATTGTACATCGTGAATCCTTTTTTGAAAATGGCTGTGCATGTTCTTCTGAGTTTCCAATATGCTGAGCAGAAGTGAAAATGATCAAATAAGTTTACAAAATTAATACTAGATGGTATCGGAGAACGTCCATCACTGCGAACACCAGCAAACCGAGATGCAGTGCGGCAAAACATGTATCAAAAAAGGTATACGAGGCACCATAGGGGTTAAAACATTGAACAAAGTCTATGACTACAATAAAGAATTCTTTTGATTAAGCTTTGCAAATTGAAAAACCATAGCACATTTCACCTATTGTTTTACTGGAGCAAAAGTAGGATGCAACTAGTTCACATTAGCTTCACTGTGAGCGTCCTGCAATATCATAACATCTGCAGTGGCATGCTTAGCATCAGTTGTTTGGCTCAAATAAATTTCGCACGAATATCTGTACGGACAAGTGTCACCTTAAAACCTCTTGGGTTCCGTGTTGGATGCCAGCGTACCGCTTGACATCACTGTGCGTCTCCATAATAAACTAGCATCTTCATGCTTGGATACTTACTTGAACGGTCCCGTCTATACGAATGATGCGGACACCACCACATCTTCCTTTGGTCTCGCCTTCTCGAAATTGTCGTCCATGGCGATGGTTTCATTCGAGCGAGGCTACTGGCGCGTGTTTTATACCGTAATGTGTAGAATATCGGCAGGTACGAATACAGCTAATGCGAATGGAAATATGAACACAGCTGATTAATTCCTTTGATGGACACATCCGCCTGACGTGTTGTTGGCCGTTCTCGGCGACAGGTGTATTCTCGTGGCGTTTACTCTACAATTCGTTGCGTCCATGTGTCATCTGACCTTCTTCCTATATAATTGGCCCATCTGTGCTTCGCTATCGATGTGACTTCTTCTGGACCACTAAGATGAGATTAATTTCTGAGATCTGAGTTGCGTAAGCCGGCTAGGTGTTGCGAGTACCGACTAATTTTCAGAAGAAATCGTTCAAGCAATCTGTGAGTCGTTCTCAGTAGTCTTGACGTGGTCGAAGTGTCAGCCCATGTCTCCACTGCTTAACACAGCGCTGGGAGGACTGCTGAATCGGGAGGGTTGGAGCATAACATGGGGACCGTAATTTGATCGGTGGCTTCTTTGCAAGGCCCAAATGCGGCCCATGTTGCTTTCCCTCTTCTGTCAAGTTCCCCTTCATGTTCTTCTACATATTCAGTGAACGAGCGCGATACACGTACGAATAGGTATCCGCAATTAAAGATCCACCCAATCTGATATGTTCATCATTGCACCAATGGTTTTTATGAACTGGGTCTTCATGCGATTTATGCTAGTCCGGTCTCCTTCCCCGCTTCATTAAGTTAATTGCTCATCGTCTCTGTTTTAGTAGCGCTATTCGAGAATAGGGCAATATCATCCGCAAAACGAAGGCGCGATAACATTTGATAGGATAAAAAGCATCTGATAGGAATTTCCTATTGTTACATATGCCGCTCTCGTCTCATTCAAGTGACTTCATTATCCACTACAGTGCGGCGGTGAACACCTTTAGCGATATTCTATCGCCTTGTAGACCCATTTTTCCAACGGGTGTGGTAAGAGGTCGCTGAAAGAGCTGTGCTTTTGTGGTACAGTTCCGATAGCAGTCTGATTAAGACCTTATGTAGGACGGATCTACTCCTTGATCAACAAGCGCTGATTGGACTGTGTTCGTTTCAACGCTATCAAATGCTTTCTCATAGTCAATAAAAGCTAGAAATAAAGGCAAGTGGTTTCTCGACAGACTTCAATTACACGTGATACGGTTTGGACGTGGTCCATGCAGTAGAATCCTTTGCTGAATCTTGCTTGTTCAGCAAGCTGAGCCCCATCCAAAGTTCTCGACATGCGCAGAAGGATGACCTTCGTAAAAAGATTGTAAAGTAAGCGCGCGACGTCCTCCACTGGTCCGTAATTTTTTTCCCTTTTGAATATGAGATTTCTTATGTTTTCGCGAAAAGTACATGTAAATTATGGATTCCGGTTCGCAGCAAATTGGAAGAAATTTTGTTCCTTACTCAAATGCATCTCGCTGAACAAAACTATTTATTTAGACTTCTAATAACAGATCAATAGACCGAATCTCATAGGTTCCAATGATGCATTTTGACTTTGAAGCGGACTTATTGGTTCGCTGTAGCAGCAAGGGGAAAATTAGTTTTCACATTCGGCGCGCAGAAATGATCGAAGAGGCTATGCTTGTAACACCGTTTGAAAGTCTGTGCACCGAGCGCGAGCTTCAATCGATTAACTTTCTTGCACAGACGTTTGGTGTGTAGGATGCTATGTTTTTGTAGGATCATGACTGCGTCTTTTTGAGTACTTGGTAGAGCATAATAACTCATGATCGAGGGAACTCGTTGGAAATCAGCAGAAAACAATTGAGAGCCAACCGATGTGCAATGAGCTGGTGTCGCTTGATGCAAAATCTTATTCACGTGCTGGTAAGAGCGGTAAAAGCGCCAATGTAGCAATATTTAATTCACGTATCGCCAAAGCGTGGTGGCTTGGAGTCGATGTCGTGCAGCGCGAAACTTAACATTCTCTTGGCTGTTACAGCGCAAACAAATGCACCACTTACAAAAATCAAGAGCACGTTCGGAATTGACGACATTCAAGCAATCAGATGGTTGCTAAAAGTCCAAATTGAAAGCTTTGCTCAGCGATGAAAAACATACTTTTATTTTTACTCTTGTAGCGCACTAATACAGCCGTATTCAAAGCAAAGTGTGCCATTATAATCTTTGAGATTAGACCTATTAGATAATTATTAAGACTTGATAAAAGCAGGAGACGCTTTTCTTTTTTTTTAAAGATTCAAGAAAGGCGCTGATACTAGAAGCGATCCAGTTTTGCGATACCAATTTTCTGTTGGATGCTACAACGCAGCAGAAAGTCTTCCTTCAAAAATCAAAAGTATCATTACAATCCTTCATATTTGATTCATCATTTAGTTATCAAAAGTCTATAGAAGTAGCTTTAGTTGACGATAAACATTTGAATGAGGAACAAATTATTATTTCTGCTGCCTGAGAACAAAAATTCCATTTTGAAAATAAAGTATAACATTTAATTATTTGATCTGAGCTATCGAATGATCACTTAAGCATCAAAAATCACTGAAAAACGACCTTCTTCGGAGGGTCGAAACAGCTTATGGATAACGGAAAGTACCTTTTTTACCTTGCTTTTAGAAGAGGTTGAAAAGAAAGATCTGGAGCACTTGTATAAAATTTCAAATATACGCATGAAATCCAAACAGAAATAGTAGTAACGTAACTATTTTTGAAAATAAACGCCATCGTTCTCTATGATTTTCTGCAAACGGTCCGCCATGTTTCGCATCTGGTTGAAGTACCATCCCTTCGACTTCAGATCAAAGAACTCTTGACATGGTTCTTAAACTTCATAGAACGATTCAGATCGATTGTCTTGAACGAGCCTCTTTTAGAGGTTAAGATCTCCGCACCAAAGCGTTGGAACTTGCGTCCAGCAGCAGATTTGCCTTAATGTTTTCTCCTACGCCTTTGTTGATTTCATCGACTGCAGCTCGCTGAGAAAGACCTCTTCTACAATAATGACGCAATCAAACAAGAACTTCGATTGCGTCGTTGCTCACAACGAGGACTTGTTCAAATTGAGGGTAGAAACGAATATTATCTAGGCCTTCAATGAGAAAATCCCACTTAGGAAACTGTAATATTCGCATGACAAGCAAGGGAGTCATTTCTTGCTAATTGAAGTGCCCTAAAACTTTATTTCAATTGTGTAATTGAAATATGACAAAGAGAGTTATGAAAAGCAAAGATATCTATCAAATCTTGCATTTGTGTTGTCATCTTCTGGCAAATGTCATTCGTTCGCTTGACTACTATAATAGCAAGTGAAAGTAGTATAATCTATACTGGTGTTACTTGACTTTTAGTAAACGATGGTAATTTCTCGAATCCCAAAGTTTTGAAGCGTTTATAATTGAGTCCAATTGAAAAATACACCTGTCCATCTTCTTATTCGAGACTATTCTTTTAGTCCTAAAAAAGCTCAAAATAAGAATTCTCAAATAATTGAACGAAGAATGTCAGCCGATTTGAAAAGGTCTCCAAACGAAATCTGAGAGACAGATTCTTTTTTGCGCTTAAAGCTTGAGCTTGATATGAGTTTTAAGTTTTAGTCCAATTTTCCCGCAATGTGGCATTATGACATATCGCGCCCATTTTGCGGCGTGTCATTGGAGCGCATTGAATGATTGTTGAAATCGAGATGGGCTAGTTCTTCCAAGAGACATTGCTCACTGATCTCTTCAAATCATTATTCTAGTATTCGGACTATGCGCATATTTTCATTGTCTCTCTAGAAGCTGTCTATCAGATATGATATTCTGCTTATGTCATCGTGTCCTCAAACATCTCCTTGATGTTACAAAAAAAGTTTATATATATATATATATATATATGTTTTTTTTTGTAAACGCAGTTGAGCGACAGCCGCCTGTCAAAGGTTGGTGGCTGATAGCTAACATAGAGATATTAAAATAACATAGAGATATTGAAATGAGAGTGGTGGTGCAAATGTGCCTTTGTTGTGTAGTGGTAGAGCACGCGTTCCTGGACAGGATAAAACGAGGGTTAGATTCCCTCTTGAGGCTGTGTTTTTGCTCACCACTCAATTCTCTTAGGAATATTCAAAACATCATAACAGTGCGAAATGCACTAAAAATACTATCATTATCTTTAGGTTTTTTAGAAACATCGCACCACTACGAAAAATGCAGTCAAAAACATGAGAAATTATAAGGTATTGACAGTTTACTGAAAGACGATCTCCTGATGTCAATCTTGCGAAAGCCTCCACATACTTGTGGCTTGTGTGCGACGCGTGTAAAACGCAATTCTGATTTCAGTGTTGCATCGGGATGAAACTTTTTTGATAAGTAAACAAATTTTTGGAGTCCTATCTAAGTATTACTAAATTTTTGATGGTAAAACCTTTATCAATAAAAAATGCTTGAGTTTGAAATACACCATTACTTTTGGTGTTGCAGTTTAATATTTAGACTACTTGAGAAATAAAATAGATCCTTGAAATCTCCGAGATTTAAGCTATTGTATACAAAAATTATGTTTTCTATAAAGGGCTAAAAATGGCTGCGGTTCGGAGAAAATACATTTTCTTTATCACATACACTGTGCTCACGAGCGACAGTTGCTATGTGTCAAGACTGACAACATTACAGTACGATACACCGTTGACGTTGTGTTGTTCAGGTACTGTACGTGGAGCAAAATTCCGCGTGGAGGAAGGGGTACAATACAGAATTCGCATACACTTTTCCGTTCCATGATAAGCAGTGAAAGTCTTGAGGTGAGCAACTTGATGCGATACATTTTTTCATAATCGCATAAGCGGGATTCGCACTGAACAGTACGTATGCTTATCAAAACAGGTAATGTAATATTTTGATATACACTGACATACAAGGCTTCAAAAATCAAAAAACTCTTTCCTATTTTTGAAAGCGTTTACAGTCTATAGCAACGTATATAGATAGATACATTCATAAGATGAGGCAGTGATATCGTCTAAGTATCGAAAAATCTTCAAAACTCTTGGATCCTACACATCAATGTGCCTTCATGCCTTCACTTTGAAACCGGAAATGGCTTCAGAAGGCTAGCTCAGCAAACGTAAATACTTTCAACAGTCAACAGTTGACGATAATCAGATGACTTGACTGATAATAACTCACTGTGACATATAGAATCAATTTCATTGTAGGCAACCTCCGTCGTGGAAATCATACCACGTAGTCGCAGCGCGTTGACCAAAATGATAAAAATCGATTCGCTTTCTACTAAAAACTGAGATTTCAAAAAGATTGCAGACGTTTTGATTTCATCTACTTTACAACTTGTTCATTTGTAACGTACGTTCAATGATATGCCTTTGAAGAAATTGATGAAATGTTGGTTTTATAAAATAAAGGACAGAGCTCTCGGCGTTGTTCAATCCTTGAGGGATGCGCCGTGCACTGGTCTCCATTGTTTGACTTCGTTTGAGTTGACTGAATGCATATCTGGCTTCTAAAACGACTCTCGGTGGCCTCCCGTTGATCCGAATCAGTGTTGCTTATCCTCCCAGATAAGACTGATACTTGTCTAGTAACAGTTTACCGACCTCGGAGGGATGGATGGCTTGGTGAGCCCTGAGCGCGAGGTCACACCACTGATATCGTGGGTGAGCAGAGCACCTCTAACCATTGCGCCATATACGCTCTTGTTCGTATTAAAATCCGTGAATATTCTAAATGCCTATGATTTGTTTTTCTTTTGCAAGATCGCTTATTTTGCTGTCGATTTAAATGCTGTTCAGCGACTTCATCACCAGCCTTCAAGTTTTGAAATCGAAAACTGTAAGAGAAATCAAGTACAACGGACCGGTGAGAAATCAATCATCTATCGCTTGCATATGATTTTCATATTGGCGGTTCTTTAGAATGGGCGCATGGAACTCTCTTTGACCTGAAGGCGTTTTGTCTAATCGAAGAACATGGGAGAGCGCTAATAGTGCGGTTTCTTATTACATTTTTGATTCCTTCCAAGAGCGACCATAGAAGCATTTTGGACGCATGTTATTACGATGAACGAAAACCAGACGGAGAGCGTGTAACGTACAGTCTTTTGTACAGCTCACTTTATCGTTTGTAATACACGGCCCTTATTTTGTTCTGCATAATACTGCAATTCTTCGGAATCGTTGTAATCATACTCCCTCTTCGCTTTTATTAGAGGCCATTACCTCCTTTTTGATAGCTCTTTGAGTGTGTTAAGAAATTTTAGCGCAACATTGTCACTAACATGCCTTGTATTACATGCAGCCAAAGGGCAACTCAAAAATCCAAGACTATTCGCATTGCTTGTGCTAAGAAGTTTTAGTTTGCACCATGTTTACCATTCATTGAATGTCTGCTAAACAAGGCAAGGCAAAATCCAGCAAAAAGCAAGAAAAAATTTTTTGCCCAGCAAGTCGATTTGTTACAGTAATCATCTAGCTATAACCTCCCAATCCAGAAAACCTACCTACACACTGTTCACACCATCTCCTTGATTCTTCATTGTTGGAAGTAAACTCCTGTGTGCTGAGCTTGACATTTAGTTGTATAGAACGTCTCTCTTCTCACAATACGTCATGAATCTATTGCTCTATAGAGCTTTTATGGCACCGTATGTGCACTTGCTAGATATGCTGCACTTGTCTAATGTTCATGAGATTTGATTCATTATGTATACACTTGCAAATGTCGTTGTATGCCATTGATGCGTTGGTATTATTTATGCAAAGTCTGCTGACAAAAATAAATTAATCAGGTCTTTAATTTTTGTCTACAACGCCTGAGAAAAAATATTAATTGCTCTTCTGAGTTTCTTGAAACTATTAAATGCAGTACAACTGCACACTGACATGATTTGATTCTTAGTAAACGACGATCAATCTTTTCATAGAGTTTCAAAACTCCATCCGTTTAGAAAAGACGACTGTTTACATCGTTTTAAATTAGCACAAATTGAATCGCTTAGTGACTGAGACGAAAATGAATTTGATTTCTTGAAATTTCAGAAGGAAAAGTGAAAGAAGGAATTTTTGTGTTTTTAATAGGAGCTGGTAAAAACGTAGAGAATCTGAAGTTTTTGTTCCAATCAGCAGTTTCCCATGAGAGCTGGAAATATTGGTTCGATCCTTCCACGGCCGCGGTTATCTAGGCATGTCGCGCCCATCGGGCGGTTTGTCATATTAGCGCAATTTGACTGCGCATTGAAATCAGGATGGGCGACCTGTGAGCCTTTGCACGGGCACTGCGCACCGAGTTCCTTAATGGTAGCGCTCTGGCATTTGAGTGGCGCCATACTTTCCTTTTTTTTCTACCTTCCACTTAGCGAGATCTCATGTATCAATAGTTTTCTATGACACTAATGAGTAATCGCTTACATGAGGTGCTGGACGGGATTCGCATGGCTGAGAAACATGAAGAGCACCACATTTCTAACATGAGGCACTTTTCTAGTGATGTGTGATTGTGAGGCGGTCGCCCTTCTGCTCATTAATGAGCAGCAATTCACAATGAACAACTCGAGAGCTTTAACTGCTTACGTTTGTGATTTTTTGCCGGAATTACCAGTTCAACCCTAACTCTTTCATTCCTTCATGCTTTTGTGTTATACGTATGCCCAACAGTGTGCGAAATTCACGTGGGTAGCTTAATATAATATGAAGACGGCCAAAACAAAGCGATGAAAGGAAACAAAACAAGGTTGAATTTGCAAAAGTCTGTATGCCATATGACTGAAATTGAGATCGTATGTACAGCATAATCATGTGGTTTTTTCTCGCAATCGAGCACGAAAGAATTGCTATATCCTTAGTTTAACGATGTCGATTTTATTGGAGCACCTTCATCATTTAGCGGAAACGGCAATGTTTTAGGGAAAGAAGTATACATGTAACATATACTTCACATAATCAAAGTAGGACTGAACGGTTGTGTTGCATGTTGCTCTGGTGAGTAACATTTTGTTGAGCTTTCTCTGAATTTTTGAGGAATCGATTGACGAAAGGAAGAATTCAAATTTTGCGTCAGAAAAACATTGATCCATTACTCACGACCTAAAAGCCTAAACTCTGCAATGATAACTTGAATTTATACTTGGATGTACTTCGCCATGATACAGTGCCTTTCGTCCCGTCGTGACCGACTTCACCCGTAGATATTTGAACTAGTAACGTGTTCATAGCCTACTCTGTTCACCGGCTTCAAGCATCCTTCGACCTGGGAGTTGGCTTCACAGTTGATGAGTTGTTAGCTGGACGGATAAATTGCGCTTCATAGTCGGCGAAGCCTAAGTTGCAAATATTTCCTTTCACGCGCATCAACAAAGTTTTTCAAAGCTGTCCTACTGATCATTCCAATATTTAGCAACGGTCGTGTGCCTAAAACGCGGCGCACGTATGGCGATGTGAATTTAACACTGAAGGCCTCCACGACGATCACGGAGTGATCACATCTTTTTCAATCCGTTGGAAACCTCGTCAGCACGGTAAGCTTAGCGAGTTGCGGTACTTTTCCGGTATCTGAGAACAATTAAGAACTCAATCCTATTCGCTGGACAAGAAGTTTTCATGGGAGTGTTAGCACTCACTTGAAAGCTTATTGAGCTCGTGTTCCTTTCATCGAACGAAGCTTTTTCGTGGGGCTATCAGTGACCATTCGATAGCTTCAGAGATGGAAATTTCAGTAATGAGAACTAAATAGAACACTTTCTTAAAGCGCTGTGACTTAAAGACGACTACGTTTCGTTGCTGTACTCTCTTGTTTGGGACTTTACACTGTTTTTGATATTCTTCTTTTCTTATGAAAAGAAGGATTATTTATTGCAGAAATCTTTACTTGGGTTATTTATTGGAGGAACGCTTTCTAGCATAAAGAAACTCACATGTTCCGTAATAAGCACTAGTTTATAATTCGGAGAGCAGACCTTCGAGGAAACGATATATTCCAGCCTTTATTGTAGGTTTCTCTTGCCTGTCCCATAGGGACTTAAACTCAGAAACACCTTTTCTACATTGTGAAAATCGTAGAAAGCACTAGTAGGA